TTCTTTTTTTTTTTTTTTTTTTTTTTTTTTTTTTTTTTTTTTTGCTGCTGTATTTTTCACGTACTTTGTTATTTTAAGAAATGAGAATGTTTTGACAAAATGTTTTCAGTTTTTTCTATTGAGAAAAATATTGATGCACTGAGACCAAAGGTGATGTGCACTCGTATTTCATGACTGCCATTACACCTAACAAACTATCTAAATAAGCTGCTGTTCTTTTTCTGTGTTTTGTTTTCTCATATTTTACTTTTTTTTTTTTTTTACCAACAGGATAAGCTGCTGGAATGGTTTGTAACTTCATGTCTTCTGAAGATTAAACCCTGGCTTATTACACAATTCAACATTATGGAAACTCCACACCTGGTGATATTTGCATCATTAATGACAGAACAGAACTGATGACAAGGTAGGTGGTTAATTCATGAAGGACAAATGTCAACTGAATTTCATTGTAGGCTTCAAAGTTTTTGCCTGTGTTCTACTCTGACTCCAAAAGGCCTGTAAAAATTATGTCTATAATCTTACTTTGTAAATAACAGTAAAAAATACTGTCTGGTTTGATTCCAATAGAGAGTTAAGCAACTTGATGCTGGGGATGAACAAAAGGGTCTGATGTGTTTAGCCAGTGTACAAAAACAATCTATTGCTAAATGCAGTCGAGTACAACTGTTTCAGCTCAGTAATATTAAAAGCAAAGGCTTCTTTTAAGTAATTTTCCTTTGGAAGTTCTGATTCTACAGATTCTGTCTGTTATTCTCACTATATTAATTTTGCCTACTTTTTATCAGTATTGCTTTGATGTTGTAAATCTTTTCAAAGTACAAACGTTCTGGAGTCAAGCCAGCCTTCCACTAACAGAAAGGGAAAAAAAACCAAAGCAGTGAGATCAATAATTAACTTGATTACTGTTGTTTCATTCAGGTTCCATATTTGAAAATAGCCATTTCATCAGCTCAGATAACAAACTGCAGCAGATTTGTTTGGGGACAAAATTTTTAATCTATTGTACTGACAGCCAAAATTAAGAAAGTAATAAATCTGCATTTCAAGTGAGATAGCACAGTCGAGCTCTTCTTGATGGTTCCTTAAGAATCACTCTTATTGGCCTCTTTGCAAGAGGTCCTTTTAATTTTTTTTTTGGAAGGATAACAAATACAGCCAAAGATATATTTTTTTCCTCTTATACAGTGGAAAATCATGATGCAAGTCTGAAAAAAACAGGAAAGCAAACACAGAACAAGGATCAAGAGTACAGAAGGAGGAAGAGATACACTATTATACAAACAGGTAATATAGCCAAGGTTAATACCCACAAAATTACAGATATTTATTTGGTATTTTGGTATAGAAAATACACAAGTTTATGATCAAAAAGTGTCAGGTGGACTCTGGTATCACAAATCCCTGGTTTAGGAGCTTATGGGGTTACACTTGGGATTGCTGCCCCTCCTCAGAGGAAGGATAGGTTTGTTTGCTCCACGCTGGACAGGAGCAAGCTAACAGATGGCTCATAAAGGGCAATTTCTAGAGGGTCTAGATTAGAGGATTAGGACCTGGGCAACCTGCTGGAGGACGAAAGGATCTGGAAGAGCACCAACATGTGCACCAATGTGAATACCAGCTGTGGTTACAGCAGCTTTTTAAACAGTTGTTTTAATTACAAATTATTTTGGGATACATTGGTGTCCCTTCTAATTACTCAGCATGAAGTACAAGACACGTTGTGGCAAAGGTCAAGCTAAAGATACTCAGAGCATGAAAAAATACTGTGATTAGCATAGAAACAAAGCAGAGGGAAGAAATGGAAGCAAACGGCATAGAGCTTAATTTCTAGACAAAAAAAAATCCTGTGCAGGCATGGAAGCAAGCACCAAGTCTGTACTGAGAGCTGCCTAAGGGAACAAAGATGAAAAAAATGAGGACAAAGCTTTTGGTACTGTCTTACTGGGGAAAAAAAAAAAGAGAAGTCATTCCACCTCCAGGAATAATGCCTGAAGCACTGGCACACTCATGCGTGTCTGATGAATACTAAAGCCCATGAAAGACTGAGACTGTCAAGAAATAAAAGCCAGAAGTAGAAGAAGAAATAGATCCATTACAGAATACACTCAAGCAGGCTGAGGGAATCCAGAAGGCAAAACCAAAGACAGACCTAAAAAGGTGAACTCTGCACCATATTACATGGCATATAAATCAGAGGGAATAACGGCCATTCTTTTGGAATATTCCAATGAGCTTGTGCAGCTGAGGTTGCCCCAACTCAGTGCTGTCTCTGCCCTGGGATGGAGGGGCAGCAGCATGACCCGAACACCTCCAATGCATGAGTAACACCTGCAGCGTGACCGCAGTGGCTGCAGGCACAGCTCCCACCCTGCAGCAGGCAGTGTGTGACACCAGAGCCGAGCGTTTGCAGCTCTGCTTTCCCATCAGGAGCCGGCTGAACCGTCCTGGCGGCTGCAGAACTGCACAGGAGCCACGAGAGACAGCAGCAGTACTGACTGGACAAATGTGCTTCAAACTGTTCTGAGCAGGGGTGAAACCTTGTGTTCGAAATGTCCCGTCCACCACACGTGATCTTCCGCGTAAAGGGAAATTCGCTCCGGTTCTTAATTGCTCAGCACAAGGAGCAAGTGTCTGTTTGCACAGTCCTCAGAGGATAACCTATGTTTATATCATGCCAATGCCACGTGACAGAAATTTTGCCTTTTTTCTTTCCAATTCCCTTTTTTCTTAGGTAGCAAACCCTACACAGTGACCTTAAAAGAATGTTATTAAAACTACAAAGTCAAGTATTCCAGAGAATGAAAAAATTAAGGCCACCTGTGATAAAAATTTCAGAAGGTTCAGAAGGTTTTAAGCAAATAGGATGATTTCAAGTTTTATTCACAGAAAAGATGTTCATTACTTCTCACATCAGGACTAATTCTTGGTAAGCTGAAGTTGCCTTTTGGCCATATTTGACATAGCTTTTCATTATATAACAGTTCAAACATCAGGACTTATGTCTGGTTCAAAGATGCATCATCAGGATACAACTGCTGGCATTATTTCTATGGGAAAAGCAATTGACCAAAATGCATGTTACCAAAGGACTAATATTTGTAATAAATGCAAAGAACAAGTAAGCTTAACTGAAAGGAGTTCAGTCAAAGGCTCAGACCTTCTGTCACAGGTTTTCTCACCAACTCCACATGGGAGCTGAAAGGTAATGAGGTGATACCCAAATCAAAGCCCGTGAAATCAACTCTCCAGGTTATGAAACTGTGTGAGCACAGGCTTGGAAAGATATCTGCCTATCCTTTGGAATTACTGACGCATCTTGAGCACGTCTGAGAATGAGACCTCAGTGGAAACATTTGAAAGGGCAAAAAAAAAAAAAGCTGAGGTTTGGCCGTGGTCTTAAATTCATTTAGTTTTCTGTTGCAAGAAGATAAAGAGCTTTTAGCAGGCACCAAGAGACACTGACACCAATAGCACTTCTCAGTAGGTTCATAAAAGGCTCACATAGGAGATGTGCTCAGGCACAATGGGAGCTGGTGGTTATGGTATTTGAAAGGGAGTAGGTTCATTAGCTTTAGGCAGAAAAAGGCAATCTAATTACAGGTGGTTATTTTTATCGTGGAAACCAGCGATGCTTTCAAACAGCAAACACGATGCTATTGAAAATCCAACATCAATACATGGAAATATGCTCCTGTCTCAGAAAGTCATTACTGCTGACAAGTACACAGAGCAGGAAATAGCTTCCATGGTTCAGGGCAGGTTCGGAATCTCCACTAATGGAAGGCATCAGGCAATTGAACAAAGTGGTGACAAGTTGAGTCAGTGGAAATAAAAGAATCATATCAAGCGGTTCAATAGATTGAAATAAAAATCTGATGATTCGTCAGCTCTGAGGGACAGATGCACTGCAGGCAAGGCTATAGCAATGCTTCCTGACAAAAGAAAAGTCAACTTTTAGACCCCACTCTCTCCCCTGCCCTCTCCCTCTCCCCGCCTGTCCCCTTCACTCCAAGGCAGCTCTGCCCTGCGGCCACCAAGGCCCGAGGCCACCAAGGTTCTGCCCTCTTGGTGACCTCAACAAAGCCCAGGCACTTCAGGGAATTTCTGAGAGGAGCTGAGAGAAGCGGTGACACCCCCGGAGCCGCCCGGCCACGGGCGAGGTGCGCGGCCACTGTTCTCCCCCGCCGGCGGTACGGCCACGGGGGACTCGTGTGCTCACGGCAACGGCGGGACCCGCCGCGGCTGCTGCCACTGCCCCGCACGGCCGGACTGACAGCAGGGGCAGGGGCGGCCGAGGGAGCTGCGGGGCGGGACTGAGCGTTCAGGGCAGGGGCACCGCTCCTCCGAGCGCGGGCGGGCCGGCCGGGAGCGAGCAAGGCACGGGGCAGGGGACGGGGCAGGGGACGGGGCACAGCCCCACACGGCCGCGCTCCCCGCCCGCGGAACTTGCGCACAGGCCGCCGCCCCCCTTCCGGCCGGGCCGCGCAGGAGGCGGGCTGAGATGGCGGCCGCCCTGCCCGCCGCCTCCCGGGCCCGCACCGCCGCCGCCGCTGTGCTGCTCCTGAGCTGCTGTGGGGCGGCGCTGGCCGGCGGCGTCCAGGTACGGGGCTGCCGCGGGGGGACACGGGTGTTCCGAGGAGCTCGGGGTGCGCGGGGAGCGCCCCGTCGGTTTCCCGAGCGGCGGAGCGGGCGATGCGATGCCTTCCGCGGGCGGGAGGGAGGAGGGCGGGCCGGCCCTACCCCGGCCCCGCCCGGCGGGCGGGACGGGCGAGGCTCGGTGTGCCGGGACTGGCGATGCGGCACTGCCCAGGTACGGCACTGCCCGAGCATTGCAGGGCTCCGTGGGCCGGGAGAGGCGGTTCGGCACTGCCCGGGTCCGGCACTGCCCGGGCCCGGGCAGTGCCGGACCCGGGCAGTGCCGAACCGCCTCTCCCGGCCCACGGAGCCCTGCGGGTCTCGGCAGGCGCTGTCTTGTCTGACTCGTTCAAACTGCTTAATGCACCGTGCCCACGCTGCGTCTGGAGTGTTGTTCACGTTTGAGCTCCGCTTTGTTAACGAGCTGTTGTACTCGAAGTTAATTAGCGACAAGACCGACACCCTCCCCGAAACAGCAGGTGTATTTTTAGAGTCTCGGGGTGACTGATGGAACTGCAGGTTGTTCGCTGCTTGAAGTACAATATGCTTTACCTGTATTTTAACGTTTTTTTTGTTACTGTGTGTTTTGTGTGAGAGCATGGGCATCATCTCAATAGCCCTCAGAGTTAACAGGGTCTGATTTAAGAATCAGCAGGTCTGGATTCTTGCCCTGTGACAGACTCATTCCCTTACCTCTGGGAAGTCTTATCCCCTTTCTGTGTCCTGTTTTATGCTCTCCATTAAGGAAAAAGGGCCCTCTCAGCTGCAAAGCACAGTGGGAACTATGGAGAACACAGATCATACAGAAGGTTGCTGTCATTGCTCCTGATTTTGGAAGATAAATGTAACCACCCTGGATTTAAAATGGCTTTAAATTGCAGATTCACTTACCTGCTTTTGAAAATAGAAATGAATCCAAGCCCCTTTTCTCGTTAAGGAGGAAACTATAGATCAATAAATCACGTTATTTTGTTCTTGGAGTGTCCTTTAGAATAGAGATGTGTTGGCTTTTTGTTTTATCTAAGCTGCAAGTGACTAACAGTTCTTTCTTCTTTGTTACACAGCAAGTTTCAGGGAAGGATTTGGAGTAACTAACTGAGGTCAAATGTACAAAACAGCATAAAACCCCCCTCCCTCTCTTGTAGCTGTTCTAAGATTTATTCAGTGTTAACGTGTGGTAAGCATCTGCATTCAACACTTTTGTGGAAACAACAAAAATATGAGCGGTCATCTCTTTCTTATTGCTGAAAAAAATGTAAAATTTTCTCTATCTTTCAGGATCAAGCAGAACAGTTCTTTAGAAGTGGACACACAAACAACTGGGCGGTCTTGGTAAGCATAGTCCACGTTGTTTTCTTCCAACAAAGTTGCCAGTTTTTTATGAAGAACCATAATTGCAACAGTCATTGAGGAGTTCTGCTCACTTGAAAGGAATGGAAAGATAAAGACTTGGAAATGGATGAATTTGAAATTGTGCCTGCAAATTTATTACACTATAATGAAATTATCTTTTCAATAAGACTGGATTTCAAGCACTCAATGTGTCTAGCTGCGTGGCACAGTTCATAAAACAAAAGTTCTGAGAGCATTAAAGTAGTTAAATTAACATCTTGCATATGGAAAAGAAGTATAATTCTGATACCAGGGAAATGTGGTCTCTTTTACCAGAAAGGTACAATTTATTTGTCATTTTTGTTCTTACTCAATCTGTTCACTTGTGATAACAGGCTTAGAATGAAATCAGTTTAGGCAACATAATGTTTAGATCAACTGTTCTTATCCTAATTCTTTTTTTTTTTCTTTGCCATGTATCTTTTATTAGCTTTGAATCATGCTGCACAATTGGTTCTTAATCACAGTTCAGGTCCTAATGACTAATTTGTTTCAGAACACTATTGTAATTACTCAGTAGTAGCTGTTTGTTTTCCAGATACTAAAATTGAGCAATATAAAAGGAAAGTTAACAGGAACTAATTGAATTAGAAGTAATAATTTCTATATTCTACTTGTACAAACTTGAAACTATTAAAACATCAAATTCTACTTTAATACTATTGACAAATAGGTGCTTTTATTAGCACCCATAAAAACATACAAGGTGGAAAATTAAGCCCTAGGAGCTGTATTTTCTGTCCAGAACAGATTTTCTGTTGGTTGTATTTTTTCAGTGGTTCATCATTAAGCTTTATAACAATTCCTACTAATTTTTTAAGAAGTAAAATAGGGAGAGGTTTGCTGCTATCAGGCACTTCAAACCTGGGATAATGCTGCAATTCCCACCTCACCTGTAGTTTGAATTAATATGCTGCAATGTGAATAGCTTCACTTAAAGCTTGGACACATTTTCCACCGTGTTGTAAGAGAGGTGGTGGGGGTAAGGTGCAGATAATAGTACCTTGAAATGTCTCAGCTAAATTGGACACAGTTTTCAGAGCTTTAAATTTTGCTGAAAGGCAAATGTTCTCACAGACTGATTCCTGTGGGCTTTTTTGGAGTTCCTAATTGGCAGGATGATCAAGACACCAGGGGATCCTTTCAGGCTGAGTTTTTATAATTACTCAAACTACTACTCAGTTCTTTTTATGAAAAGACTAGAGGAAAAGATGCTACGTAGTGTAACTTAAAGCTCCACATTTAAAACTGCAAAGTTAAAAAACTGTCCAAGTGCTTGTTCCTGCATCTCTGTTTTTGTGGTTTTAAAGTCACTTCTTCTTGCAGAAGTTTTTGAAATCTCTGAATCAGAACAATGTCTGATTTAGGGAGTTTTTAAATCCAGGAATGGCTGAGTCCTGACCCTTTGCCTGTTTGAACAGTAGAAACTCAACTCCCTCGAGGTTTCTGAGAATTTGTGCTCAGGTTTTGGTTAGAACTCACTTAGCTCTTACTTCATTACATTTCACTCCTTAAATGCAAATGTCCTCAGTGTATTTTCCCCAGCGTGTGTCTTCTGCATGAATTCACTTATGCCTTTGTGCAAGAATGCTCTCAGAATGGGTTTGCTATTGAGATGAGGCCTCTTCCTTTGATTTTTAATTCCGTTTGCTAAGGAGAAAGCAAATGAAAAAATTTAGCTTATCCACTTACTATTGCTGAATTATTCCCTAAACTGCCACTTTCTATACTTAGTTAGGGTTTATGACAATTTTTTCATGAGTCAGTATGCTAATAACTTTTTTTTTAAACTTTTATTTTCAGTATTTCTTTGCTTTGGCACACCAAAGATTTATATATCTTATGTCTTGAGTTTGGTGGTGTTGCCTTGTTCTTCCTGATTTGTTCCTATTTTTACTATTCCTGTAATTGTGGTCTTCAGATGCAACGTGCCAGGCCAATTTGTATCTTTTACATTATTTAATATGCTTTTTTCCTTCCTTTTCAAGGTGTGTACGTCTCGATTCTGGTTTAATTATCGTCATGTGGCAAACACTCTCTCAGTATACAGAAGTGTCAAGAGACTGGGCATTCCTGATAGGTGAGGGGACCTTGGTGAATCCAATTCCTTGCAAATGTGCCATGCTGTCTGCAGCAGGATAGAAATACATTTATCTTCCCAGTTTAACTGGATGAAAGCAAAAAGGAAGGATGCAGTCACATCAGTTGCGTTGAAAAGTGCAGCAATGTTGTTCAAAAGGAAAAGCAAAAAGTTAATGTAGTAAAACTCCCACTTGGAACAGGCTAATTAGATCTGGCCCCTAAAATGTAGCGCTTGGTAAATTGGTGAAAGCATAATGGGAAAATTGATAAATGCACTCAGCAATGACAGTGCTACTCCGAGATATGGCTCTTGCTGTACTGTAATTTCCTTTCAGCGTGGAGATGTTGATAACTCTGACTGTACAAAGGTATCAGGCTTCCACATCTGCAGCCACACCGAGTCCTTAAACTAAAGGCTTTGACCAGAGCAACTTCTGCATAGTGAAAATTGCTTTGAAAAAAATCTGTTTTGCATGATTGGTTTTACAGAAACAAGTAACTTTGTCGACGTATGTGCTTCTCTCGTGCTAGCACAGTGGTTAAAATGGCACCCCTTCTTTCACAACAGGAGCAGGAAGGTGAACAAGATGTTCTGAAGCATCTTTTAGTTGTGTTCCTGCTGGAAGGAACCTCTTGGCACTGTTCCATCCAGCTGTTTTGCACTGCAGTTTACTCAGAGCTGTGGAAGTGAGTTTTAGGCACCAACATCCATTGAATAATAGGCTGAATATATTCCACTGAATATATATATATATTCCATTGATTATATGTACCTGTAGGCTCCTGTGGAAATCCTGATGGTCCTGGTTTTTAATGTTAGTGTAGAGGGCTGGTAGTTTCTCCAGCATGTCTACCTAAAGAAGGGTGTCCTGCTTTGTCGTTGCAAAATGTATGTTCTGCTGGATTAAATTTGGATGGCATTTCTTTTTTTCCCCAAGTCCAAAACTGTATTATCTGGAGTCCCCAGTTAGCTTCCTCTCAACTCTGAGTGCAGTGGCAGTATCATCCTGTTTTCTCTGTTTATTTAAGAAATAATAAAAAGAGTGACTTTCTAGTTTTTTTGAAAGAGGGGAATTCGAAACCTAATTTTTAAAGGCCTTCGGAGGCTGTAAATCGAAGGGAAAACACTGCTGTGGGCTGAAAGCACAGAAATGTGGCTTTTGGTTTTGCACATCTCACTCAGGAGCATCTGTCTTCTCTCCTGTGCAGCCTTTGAAGCACAGGTGCCCGAGGCACTGCCTTAGAAATTCTTTCACTGGTTCTGCCCTTACCTGAGAGCTTTCATCTGCTTTGCATCCATCTGTCTGCACTGTTAAGGTCACAATAGGTGGCAGTTTTTGAAGTGCTGCAAAAACAGCAGCATGGCTGGAGAGTTCTGTTATTCAGTAGCCTGAGCCATTTCTTACCCATATCCAAGGTTCTGGAAATTAATCTTGGAAAGCCAGCAATGCTTTAGGCTCATGTTTAAAATAAGACATAGGAGAAGACCTATTTTTTACTATTTGCAGCAATTTTTTACATGGATTTGAACATGTTTCTTCCTTAGACAAACTCGCTTTATCTGTTTTTCCTTCTTTGCTGCAAGACTTCCTTCAAAATATTGACAAGACAAAACAAACAAACCAACAAACCCCCCACAAAACAAAATTCTCAAAAAATCTCATAATCACATCTTAAAAATAAACATTTATCCTGATTCTTGGGGTTGGTTGTTTTTGGAGGGGTTTGTTCCATAGGCTTATTTTGAATGGAACTGTGTCAATTTGGTGATTTAAATACACTTGTCCTCCAACAACAAAACATTAGGAAGATGATTTGTCCTCCTCTGGCTTCTGTCATCACAGCTTCATATTTATGCCAGTATTTTATGTCCATTGAAAAAGTTTATTTTTGAGGACTTATGTTAATTTGGACAGCGTTTCTTTCTCATTTTTTCTTTTATTTTTTTTGGTGCACTGTGGAACATATCAGCACTTCAAAAGAATAATTTTACTCTTAAAGTGCTCAAACTGACCTACAGGTGAACGATGACAAGCACAGGAATGGTGTTCAAGGAGCAGGACACAGTTTAATTTAGACTTGTGTCCCCGAGAGTCTGAATTAAACAGCATTCTCTGGAGGATAAAGCTTTGCTTTTGTAAGCATTGTTTGGGAGAATACCAGGATCCCAGTCCAGGAGGGGACTTGTTATTTCATATTTCATATTTTGACCCAAATCTGACCCTGCCAGGTGAAATACAGATCTTTTGGGTGCATGCAAGCTGGAACAGCTTTGTTACACACCTAATATGCTGGGTTTGTTTTTTTCTTGGTACTATGAAATGGTAGGTTGGTTTTTTTTATTTTGCACTATAAAGACAACAAATTGTCTGATGTCAGCCCACTTGTGTTCTTCAGGAGAATTCCATTAGTACAGGTAATCATAGAGTATCAGATGTAGTATAATGCTTTCAGAAATGTTCAGGAGCTCCTCAATTTTATTAAAAATTATCACAGTGTTTTTAATTGATCTGCCTGAGAAGGTGCACACGTGCTGTTATTTCTTCTCTGGTGCTGCATGAAATGCTTTAGTGCCCTATAAAAATCTCCAGCTTTTTTTATTAAGAGTTCTGTCAGCCTAGGTCCTGGCAAGCCTGTATCCTAAAGTTTCCAATGTCAAATATGCTCCTGCTCATCTTTGGCCTGACTTAATCCTGTAGATAAATAACATCCAACTGCATTTCCATGTGTGATATCTTCAGTACAGTGAGGATGTGCATAAGGAAACAGGGTATAACCAAGCAAAGTTTCACTTGCAGTTCCAGGAACCTTGTTAATGTTATAAGCTATTGCTGTAACCATCAAACAGCATTGTTATCATTTCTGTTTGACTGTTATGTGAAAGTAGAGTGGCTGAAATGTTTTTGTCTTATTTTTCCATAGTCACATTGTGCTGATGCTGGCAGATGACATGGCCTGTAATCCCAGAAATCCCAAACCAGCCACTGTGTTCAGTCATAAAAACATGGAGCTAAACGTCTATGGAGATGATGTGGAAGTGGATTACAGGAGCTATGAGGTAACTGTGCTTTAATTCAAACACTGGGCCTTTACTTTTTAGTGTTGGTTCAAAGATTTATGCAGCATCTGTGAAATCTGAGGAAGAGTCTTTCTATTCGTGTTGCTGATTTTGGGCTGGGCTTTTATGATCAACTGATAGGTTTAAAATACACATCCCTCCCCCCATTGATCTTTGGGTTTGTATTTGAAGTTTATTTTATTTGAAGTTTATTGTGCTGGAAACATGTTAAGTGTGCTGGCTATTTTAAATCCACAGCTGAAAGTATGTATGGAACTCCTTGTGTGTGTTAGGAATAGAATCACATTACTGAAATTTCTCTTCTTTGGAAATGACTGTTCAGTGTCTCATCTTGTAAACACTTAAAACCACCATGAAAATTTGGAGTGCAGGTGAAGTGTTTATTAGGGAGACCTACTTAAATTCCTAGTCTTAAGCATATACTTTTAAAATAAAACAAAAGCTATAACCTAGTCATTACCATAAAGTAATTACTATAGAAAAATCTTCATTCTGACACCTTTTGTGTAGTATTCCTTCAAACAGACAGTGTCTTTATCAGTTGGTCTTAAATTAGACATCAATTTCTTGGTTTAATTGTGCTGTGTAATCATTACTAGAGCTTTATAGGAGCATATTTCAGCATATAGTAGATGTTTTTTTCCTCTGAAACTTTATGGGAAGAAGTGAAGGCACAACACTGCAATACAGATACACTCATGAAATAGAGAAACATGTTTTGTTTCTGATTTTGGATTTGTTGCTGGCATTTGAGCTGTGTGTGTGTACATGAAGTGGTGTTTTGGAGGCTTTGTTGCAGTCACCATCCAGGTGGGGTGTACTGATCACTCAGACTTATGTAACACAACTGTTTTTCCTTTTGTGAGTCGCAGAGGGAATTCAAACTTATTTTTCCATGGTAACACACCCTAATGTTGGAGCATTTTGTGAGTCCGTGAGCCACTTTGGCAGAATGACCCTGTGTGCTGACAGGTTTTCAGATCAATGAGAACCCATTTAGAAATGATAATGGTGGGAGACTTATTGGATATAATAAAGCAGCAGTTTGATGTCAATGGAATAAAGTGAAAGGCACCACCTGATTGTGAAGCTGCAGTGAAACCTTGAACAGAAAATATCTACTTATGCAGTTTATACCATGCAATATTATGTCTGTTTAGATATGCTGCATATTTTAGTGTTCTGTTACTTAATTTCTGTAACCCAGCCTATAGGTGATCAATATTCTTACCTTTAGAAAATGACTTTGTGCTTCTATTCACAGGTTACTGTTGAAAACTTCTTGCGAGTGTTAACGGGGAGAATCCCCCCAAGCACCCCACGGTCTAAACGTCTCCTTTCTGATGACAGAAGCAATATTCTGATATATATGACAGGTAATTACAGGTTTCTGTATGCAATTTATTGGTGTTTGTTGTTCAGTCAGGTGGGTTTGTTGAAAGTATCACTAGTCCAAATGAACAAAAGGATCAACTAAAAGGGTTTTTTTTGTTTTTAGCATGTCATACAATTAAGGGAAAAAGTCTGTAAGGCATTACTAAGCCAGTGTAGGTTCCATTTGAAGTGGTGTATGGGTGGTGTTCTTACTGTATCAGTTTATTCTGCTGGACTGTCTGTGGAGAAAGAGAACTGTGTTTGCCTTATTTTAGAAAAATGGTCCCCCAGGCTGATATCTTCCTTTAACCTACACTCTTGCCTAACTTCTGATTTTTCTGTCAGGCCATGGGGGAAATGGTTTCCTAAAATTTCAAGATTCTGAAGAAATCACAAATGTAGAACTTGCTGATGCCTTCGAACAAATGTGGCAGAAAAGGAGGTAAGAAATGAGCATTATTTAGACATTAAATACTGTATTTCCTGTACATACCCAAAGGCTTACTGGTAGGCCTTGCTTACCTGCAGCAGTGATACTGTCTGTTGTCCATAAAATCGCATCAAAGTTTGCATTCAGAAAGAACAGTTGTTTTTTGCTTTCAGCTTCCTGCAGTTAGAGCTGCTCAAATGAATTGCTTTGCCTAAACTCACATTTTAAAACCAGTCACTGGGAATTCTCCTGTTCCTTGGGTTCCTGGCAGCTGTCCTGGTAACTAAAAAGCAAAGTATGTATATCTTGTTTAAGTAGAAACAGCTAAGGAGGCTGTTTTATTTCTTTCAGGTACAATGAGTTGTTGTTTATTATTGATACTTGTCAAGGAGCATCCATGTATGAACGGTTTTATTCCCCTAACATAATGGCCTTGGCTAGCAGCCAAGTAGGAGAAGATTCTTTATCAGTAAGTACATTTATGTGATCCTGAAGACAGTTTTCAGAAAGCTTGAGTTAAAAGCACCAGTTCCTCTTGACCTTTAAGTAAAAATTTCCCCTGCAATTTGCTGAACTCTGAGGTATTTAGTCACACAGTGTCATTTTGGCAAAACTTGTAAGTGTACTTTTCCTGCCAGCTTTTGTGTGCTGGCCCAAAGAACCAGGCTAATGATGGATTTCTGTGCTTGCTGGCCAGCTTAAGCACTTTCTAGGGTAAGAAGAAATCTTATGGGAAGACTGCTGAGGGATGTGTGTGATGAATATTCAATTTAGGATTTACTACCCGTGATAGAAACCAAACCAAAACACTGCCTTTCACCTGCTGTAATTATATCCCAGCTGAATTACAGAAGGAGCAATAGGAGAGATCTCAGCCAGACCAAAACCAGCAGGTCAAGATTACCTGGACCCCTGGACACAATGGCTGTCCCAGCCCTGTTCTCAAAGTCCTAAGCAGGTCAGGGCAACCCACAAACCTGTGCTGGACCATTAAGAAGAAGGGTTCCCACCTTTGTTGAAAACACAGATATTACCAGAATTATACATAAACTGTATTATTCAGCTTATCAGCAGTATGTTGCTTCACAGGTAGTAATTTTCTTTGCATAATTTGCCTAAGAACAAAAAAATTATTCCTAACTTTTGTAACGTGCTGTTACATTCTGTTCCCTCCTGAACACACAGTTCTCTCCTGCAAATGCCCAGTAACTGTTGTGTGTTGTTTTTAAGCATCAACCTGACCTTGGGATTGGTGTTCATCTTATGGACAGATACACCTTCTATGTACTGGAGTTCTTGGAAGAAATTCATCCAGCCAGTCAGACAAATATGAATGACCTGGTAAGTAGAATACTCAACATTCATGAATATGCTAATGACTTTAACAGTTTCAAAACTTAATCTGTTTTGTCTGTAGGGTTCTTCAAATGCTTTCTGTGCTCCTGCTGTTTCTCTTTGGGGAAGGGTTTTTTTTTGCCATTGTTAAGTGTAGTTGTGTAACACTTCAGGGATTGACAGTGGCTTGCTGGCTACAGAAAAAATTAACTAGAATTAGCCAGATTTTGTTTTTTCATTGAAATATTAGTAAAGTATTCATTAAATATTCATTTCAATAGAATGCAGTATTTGTGTGTGAAAAATGATAGTAGGAGGCTTCTAAAGCCACCTTAAATGGATAGCAGACATTTTTCAGTTGTGGAAAGGCAGGCATTGGTGTTGTTTTGCAAAGGTGATTTAACAGTTACAGTTCTAACTGTGTGATCACAAATGCCTGCAGAGACTAATTTGTCTGTATATCTGCTTAGATTCCAGAGCAAGATATGTCCAAATCCATCAGTGTTTGGACTTCATTATATTAAATGTTATTGTAGATCTCAGGTATGAGGCAGAAGGAAAATAAGAAGCCAATCAGATAACCTGTGACAAAATTTATGGCAGTGCCTCTGTAGCAGTGAGATGACATAAAAAGTAACCTTATTTTCTTTACCCTATTAACCCTTTATACCTGTTGCAGTGTTAGTTTCCTGTAGTTGTGCATTATACTTTGGTACCTTGTAGCTGTAAATCCTGATGTGCTGTGTCAGGGATCCAAGAGCCAGCACTTACACAACACCCTGCCTTTGATTCATTTCTGTAAAAGGAGCAGCTGCTCAGAATTTTGATGCCACTCTCTGTCTGCAGAGGACAGTGTTAGCCTGGCTGCTACACGTGTGGTAGAATTCTCTCTGAACAGCCCACACTTGACAGATTTTGTGTTGATACAGAATTGATTCAGCAGCTAAGATTCAAGGTTCTTTTACTTCCACGGGAATGAAATTCTGCCCTATAATTTAATACCTTCTGATTATGGGATACAGATAACTTCACAATGAATCTTGGTAAAGAAGAGTGTGCAAATTCTTTATTGATTCAGTATCTTCTTCTAGCCTGTTCATTCAAATAGCACTGTAGAGCAGAAAATGAATTTGTGTTAATTAAAAAAGGTCATAAAAGGGAACAGCACTATCTACAGTGTAAGACACCATCTGGGAAGTGGTGTAGCTGGTCGAGCCAGCAGAATGTTAATCTGGTAGTTGAAGAGTGTAGAAATTTGTTAGCTGGCCAAGCAGTTTACCCTCTGAGCTCTTTGGAGAAGATACCAAATTGTGTGTTTGTTTTTGCTTATATGCCAAATAGGAGAAGTAAATTCCTTACACCGGGTAAGTCATCTTATCACACACCATTCTGCTGATTGTTGTTCTGGGAGTAAAAGAGAATGGACCCAAATATATCCTGATTTGTGATGATGGGGCTCTGAGTGACCCAGTGTGTGGTGGGAGGTGTCCCCACTCATGGCAGGGGAGCAGAACCAGATGATCTTTAAGGTCCTTTCCAACCCTGGCCATGCTGTGATCGTGTCCTGAGCCATGACCTGCACGTATTTCAGCAAACAATGACCACTTGATTTTGAGTTGATGCTTTCCAGGGCTTCGTCTAAGAGTTTCAAAATGACTATGGTTAGTCCAGGGTAAGGATATAGGCCTATTTTTTTGCCAACACTTGTAGGGGATACTTTGGCACTGGAATGCACTGTTAGTGTCAGCTGGTTTAACAATAAAGACCTACTGCTTATCCAAGTCTGATTTATTTATTTTAATTTAAATTAATGCTTTCCAAGCTCAGGATAACTTAAGTTTTTGGCAAACTAACTTTAAAATTAACTGGTGTTTAGTTGTTTCATCTTTTTATATGTCAAATGTCTGCTCTTTTAGAAGTACTGTGTATTTGTTACACTGCTTCTCTTTACTTTTCTCTAACCACTCTTGAAACAGCTTCTCTTCACATCCAGCTAAGGTTTGGATATTGCATTCCTGCAAAGAATGAGACATCTTTTTTCACAATCTACTCCACCTACTCCCCACCTGCTCCATCTGTGTTGCTAAGGGATAGGATAAAGCTGTGCAAATGACTGGCTTTAGGTTTGATCACAATTCTCAAAAAGTAAAGACTAAATTGAAATGTCACACATTTGAACTTTTAAAATAAGATTCAAATAAATTTCTAAATGAGATGTCATTTGTCATAAAGTAGCTGAAATTGTTGTTAAGAAAATTCAAGATAACAAAGTTCCCATGTTGGGGGAATTGTTTAGCTCTGTTAGAATAGAATCTATTTGTGAAAATCACTTGGAGAATTTAAGATTAAGAAAGAGGAGCACCCATGTGGAGAGCATCCTTCTTAGTCCTGTGTGATAAATCTATTGTGTTAAATACTCTGTGTTGCTGAGATGTACAAGGACTCACATAAACCAGCACTGTTACCAGGAGGTCAATGGACAGCAGCATTTCCCCTGGAGCCTCTGCCTAGTGGTGTGTCCAGTAGGGTTGTGGTTTGGTTGTAAGGTTTGAGTTTCTCTGATGATTGAAACATGAACTCAGCTTTCCACACTCACCAAGGAGTCTGGAGAAAGCCTTAGGTTGCTTTTCATGGTACTTGTAGCATTTTTAACAAAAATACAGACCAGTTACTATTTATGATACTGCATTATGTCTATTAGAAGATTACTTGAAATAAAGAAGCTCTGCATCTGTGAAATATTTGAGACTTTTGTGGTGAGCGTGGTGGGATTGTGCAAAGCAGCATTATGTCCAAAATGCATTGGTATTGCCTTGAATATCTACATAACAACTTTGTTACTTAAGAGGCATGCTGTCCTGGCTAAATGCTACAATAAATCCGTTACTGAGATCTTTATATAGAATGGAGTCCAGTGAAAACAGTTTATTAGTGCTGTGTGTGTGTCTTCCAGGTGTTGCAGGGTGTGTTGGATATGGGGCATCTGATATGTAGACAAAATACATGAGTAAAATAAATAATAAGGTATTTAGCTAATTTGTGGGTTTCACAGGATGTCTCTGTGCACTTAATGTACATAAGGCACCTTTGATATTTGAAGATCCTTATTCTGCATTAATTTGCGAGCTGAAAATTAGAAACAAGACTGATGGTTTTTTTTTCTGATCAAAATGTAAATTCTTGCTTCTTTATGAAGCCTTTAACATAGCTACTTACCAAAGTTTGTTTAATCTTGCATGCCTCCCTTTGGTAAATATGAAGAATTAATCCCCACTGGTGACTTCAGGAAGGTTATAGAAGCATTGCTGCATCTATATTCAGAAATATATTCGTGCCTTTATCAGGTAGATGTAATTGATGGTTGCCTTTCACAGAAGCATTTCTAAACTCAAATATAATTACTGTGAGGATAAAGATTTTCTGAAATGCATAATCAAGATGTTTATGCCTTTAAATGTTTTTGTTCAACCACCTTTTTCGGTTATAGAGCTTTTGCTGAGGTCAGTGCAAGTTTTGTGTGTCGTTTATCTTTCTTTTCGTAGCAATTTCGTTTTGGAAGGTGTGTGTAGGGACTCTTGCTGAGTGGGGGACAGGATGTGATTGTCCATCTCGGTTTCCAGTTTCAGGTCTGTCCAAAAAGTCTGTGTGTTTCCACCCCTGGGCATCGAACCGATCTCTTCCAGCGGGACCCTCAGAACGTTCTGATCACGGATTTCTTCGGCAGCGTGCGCAAGGTGGAGATCACCACGGAGACCATTGCTCTGGACAGGGACCCAGCTGCTTTTGAAAGCAAGTAAGTGGTCATTGTTTAGGCTTGGTTTGTACAGCTCTGTGCCACAAAACCAAAACAGTCGTGTAACTGTCGAGGAAAAAGAACTCTGGTTTCCTGTCATTTCTTACAAAGAATCAGGGAGTGACAAGAAGCTGAACATGAGCCAGAGTGTGCCCAGGTGGCCAAGAAGGCCAATGGATCCTGGCCTGGATCAGGAACAGTCAGGATATTAGAAAGAGAAACAGGTTAGATATTAGAAAGAATTTCTTTACAGGGAGGGTGATCAGCCATTGGAATGGGCTGCCCAGGGAAGTGGGGGATTCTCCGTCCCTGGAGGTTTTTAAGAAGAGACTGGATGTGGCATCAGTGCCATGGGCTGGGAATCACGGCAGGGTTGGATCAAGGGTTGGACTTGATGATCTCTGAGGTCCCTTCCAACCCAGTTGATTCTATGATTCTATGACATGGACCTCCTGCTGGGAGAAAGTTGGGGCTTGTCAGCTGAAAACTTTGCTTAAAAGTGCCTGCCCCTTTATTCAGGCTTGTAAACAAATGCTGCTCAAGACCAAGGTGTGGATGTCAGCAACAGGAGAATTAGTCTAGAATTTTGTTTCTGCCTTAGTGTTTCTTCTTTAGTGCTCAGGAACATTTAGTTCCTGTAAATTCCTGCTTGCGATAGTTTACTCCCTCAGGTAAGCTCCGAGTATAAGCCATCGATGAGTTGTTTGCTAACAACCAGCTTTTTAATACATGTTTTGTTTCTGTTCTGTGAGTTCTCTGACTTTTGACATTTTACTGTCCTGGGAATTTCTGTTGCTGAGATGCAGTGATCCGTTTGATTAAAATTTCTGGTGCAAGTTCATTGATAGGAGCTGTAACGGGGCTGCTGCTGCTTTGTGGATGAATAAAGAAGTATAAGCTTCTTTGTATTTTTGGGATTCTGTTGCCACCTATTGGGAACATGCAAAGGAAGATGTGCTTGTTCTTTAGAGTTTATATAACATTGTACTTCCATTTCTGTTGCATCTTTTATGTTTCATCATACTGCCCTGTAGGAGGGGGAAAACAAAGGACTGAACGAACGTGCTATATGAGGGATGAAATACTGCTCAACACATAAATTTATGTAAATCATTGTCTACCTTGTTTACTGTTGCTCAAATAAACAGGCTAGTGGGTAGCAGTTTTATTTGTTTTAAAGGTACCGGTAACTCTGGTCCTCACAGTTATAAATACCCTACAAAGTTTAATGCATTTTTTATTTTATTTTCAGGCTGTATTTTTATCTGGATCACATGCATTAGTACATAGCATACATGTCTTTCATTTTGTGACTCCTTAGCATAGAACACTAGTGACACTAAATTTGTTTTTTCACCGAAGAATAAAAAAATCTTTTGGCAAGTAACAGACATTTTGCTAATAAAAATCATGATGAAAACTTACCTATGCGGGTTTCTAATTTGTGGGTGATTAAATGGAGAAATAGATTTTGGAGGACTTTAATGTTCCGAGGCAGGAAATTGGTTGGAAGTTTCAGCTTTTATTTTTGTGTTAGTTTGGTGTCAGTAGATGAGGGTTTTTTTGGTGTCTGACACTACTGCATTGGACACGTGGAAGCAATGTTGAGAAATGGGCACTCAGGACAGAGAGGAATATTATCCTTGTGAAGTGCTCTGATATTTAATGGAAGCTGTGTTACATTATCATGGCAATTCCACTTCAGTTAAGTTGGTGAAATTGGAAGGGATAGAGGGACATGCTGGTTTAATATCTGAATAGTTCTCCTTTAGCTTGAGAGAGTCTTTGGGAATGTGTCCACCTGGGAACTGAAGCACACAGTAGCAGCTCATGGAATACTGCCTCTTGTCAGGAATGTGTGGGGCCATTTTTAAGTGGTCTTGTAGTGCAAGTTATTCACTGAACTATATTGAGATACAATTTTCCAAAAAAGTACTTCAGTTCTTGGTTTGTTGTTACACTTGAAAGAGTTTATAGGCAATATGTTTTTAATGGAGGAGAAAGTATGGAGTTTGTAAAAGTGTAGTGTAGCTTTATAGGTAGTGATGTGGAGTGCTTAATGAATTCCTTAAACAGAATTCTGAGGTCAGTACATCGTGGTGTGACAGCTCTGTTTAGCTACAAAAAATTTAAGAATTACAGCTCGAAGTGAATTCATTAATTAAAAATATTAATGCTTTTTAAAAACGCATTTTTGGAGGGTCTGATCTACAAGAACTAGTTACTCTGGTTTTAGTTAAAAAATGTTATAAACATCTATTTCTGAGGGTGTTGAGAAGGCAGAACACAAATTATGTGATTTTTGAATGGATTGTCCCAAATTAATGTAAGAATGACTCCAGAATGAAAGAATGTGAGTTCATATTCTTAACCTTCTCAACCATTCTGTGCCTTTTGGGAGTGCAATGGCTGTTGGCACTCTAATGTAAAAAAACTGGAGAAGGATAGGACTGGCACAGCCTGGTTTATTCTTCTTGGTATCACTGGGAGAGAACTAAACCAATCTTATTACAAATGAAATAATCCTTCCAAATTAGTTCTGACTTGTTCATGCCCAGCATTGTTTTAAAAGCCTTCATGAAGAAGAAAAAACTCATGTAGAATTGAACTTGGGCCCTTAAAGGTTTTCAAGAAGTATTTCCCAAGAAGTAGCTGATAGATCACAAATATAATGTGTTACATTGGTTACTGAGTGTGCACATTTTATTTGTTTAGTATTTGGTATAGTTTCCAGGCTTCATTCCTTTATGAATCATATCCTCTGTGTTTTATTCTTCACACAACATTAGCTTGATACCTTTTTTCTTTTCCTTTTACATACTGGTGGCAGTAGAATGCTGCAGAATATTTGTGTTACGAGCATGACCAGAAAATGAAATCCAGACTTGAGTTCTGACACAGTCTGAAGTAGTCTGTGTTAGATCTGATTTGTTTGTTTTAAAGCTGCAGGTGTCACATATGCAGATAAGGGCATTAAAAACCAACCAGACAAACGAGGTGAAGGAAGGTGCTGTCACGTGAGGCACGAACATGTATCGGGGTTGTACTGCCGGCAGACTGTTCATGTTCTCATCTTACCCACTGCTGTGACTTTGCCAAATCTTCTCAATAGAAGTTTGTTCTTTTGTTACACGATTGCTTAGCAATTACTTGGTAACACAGATCCACTCCCAAGCCCAGCGTGAGCTGTAGCTGTGCCACCAGATCAGAACTGGCAGCTCCGTGTTGGGCGCACGCCGGGACGTTTGACGAGAGAGGCCTTTGAAGTTCTCTCTGGCTTGGGCTGAGACTCTTACAAAGAACAACTACTAATTAACCAGGAGAAGAGGCTTTCTTTCTATCCACGTAGTGGTAGGTGAATATTTGCGAGTAAAAGCTTTTAAAAAATAAAGAGAAGGTTCCTCTGCTGTTTCCTTTCTTTGCAGCGGTTTCAGTCTAAGCTGTGTTCACTTCAAAGGGCTTGTTCTGCAGCTGCCTCAGTCCTGACTGGGTCTGTAGCTGCCAATTTTAGCAGAAAATCTGGCAGTCTAGGGGTTCTGGGGCTTCAGCTGGTTGTGTTTTGTCTGGATCTCCATGCAAGTGCAAAGAGTCCACATTAAGGAGTAGAAGACGACCTGCATCTTTGGAGAAGGAGCCTTGCAGAGTTTAGAATATGTAATAAATTAGGAGTGTGTCGCTTAAACTTGGACTGTAACTCTACAGCCAGTTGGAACAGTCTCCTTTTCGGTTCTTGTTGCGAGGAAAAGATCTGTATCAGCAGAAAGTGCTGGTAAAAATTGGGATGAATATTTCCCTTGGGGGTAGTAAGAAGTGAATTAAAGACAGCATCATATAAAACCATCCTCGTTTCATTGCTTTTGAGAATTAGGCTCTGTATTTAATACTTCTCTTACGAAGAATTGTGATACTACTGGCAGTGATTGTTTTCCTAAAAATAAATAAATTGGCCACTTGTGTTAGGAAGGATGCTTGTGTAACAGCATAACGATGAGTAATTGGTTCATTTGCTGTATGCTAATGTTCTCTCAGTCTGTTTTTTTTTTGTTGTGTTAGTGTCTCTTTTCTGTCTCTTTCCTGCCCTTTCTTCTTTTCAGTTTGATGTCCTTAATAAGTAAAGCTGCTGTTGTGTGTTCCTGAAGCCTTGGGGGATCCTGAACCAGTAGATTGATTGATTGTTTGGCGAGTCGATGCTGTTTAACTCAGTGGGCTTCCCTTAAAACTAAAGGGGCTGGGTTTGTTCCGAAATCCCAATTCAGCCTGTACCTGGTGCCTCAGATTTGTGGTTCTTTTAAGGTTTATAAGCCGTTTTTAGGACAAATTCAGGGCTAATTCTGAAAGCTCTCGTTACACGGACCCGGCCCGTTCCCGCGCGGTGCCGGCAGGTGGCGCCATCGCCCCACCGGGAGCGGGAATGGGATGGGATGGGATGGGAAATGGGATGGGATGGGATGGGAATGGGATGGGATGGGAATGGGATGAAATCGGGATGGGGATGGGGACGGGATGGGGATGGGAATGGGGTGGGATGCAGATGGGATGGGGATGGATGGAGATGGAGGTGGGATGGGATGGGGATGGGGAGGAGATAGGGATGGGGATGGGATGGGGGTGGGGATGGGGATGGGATGGGGGTGGGGATGGGGATGGGATGAAATCGGGATGGGGATGGGGACGGGATGGGGATGGGAATGGGGTGGGATGGGATTGGGATGGGGATGGAGTGGAGGTGGGATGGGATGGGGATGGGGATGGGGAGGAGATAGGGATGGGGATGGGATGAGGATGGGGATGGGGATGGGATGGGGGTGGGAATGGGATGGGGGTGGGGATGGGGTGGGGATGGGATGGGGGTGGGGATGGGGATGGGATGGGATGGGATGATAGGGCTTTGGGGCACCCAGCCCTCGCCCCCCTTGTGTGACCCACCTGAAGTCAGCCGGGCACGGAAAGGAGGAGCTGGGCTCACTTGTTGCTTGGTGTGAATTTGAGGGGGTAACAGC